AACCGTGCCGTTTTCGCGCAGCTTTCTGCCCCACACAGCCGAACTTTCCTCGGCGGTATTTCCAAACCAATATGACTTGGGGTCCTTCAAAAAGCAAGCCTACAATTTCCTGAAAGGTTGGCAACGCATCTGTAGGTTCTCTGGTGTTGCGGATATCCATGGGCGTCGCTGACCACCTCGGTGTTCCTCGTTGGCCCCCTTATCTTATAAAAAAAAATCTAGAATACATTATAATATCATACAGATAAGAATCAGTATGTTTTTATTTTAACTATAACAAGTACATTTGTATGAAAAAAATATGAAGAAACAATGTCTCAACTTGTAATGTCCATAATTTTCAGGTTCAGAAGATGAAGATGGGATTTTTACTATAAAAGATATTTGTTGGCCGGAATGCAATATACAAAAGCCTTTGCCAAAGCTTGATAGTGATAGGTAATATTTTTGTGTGTTCAATCTCCTTTCTTTATCCTTTTGAACCTAATTTTTATATCAAAAACATTTGGTTGGAAAATACCTTTCTCAAATTTGGTTTGTTTACTTGTTGTTTTTTAATTGGGAAGTTTAAGCCTGTGATTACAGCTTTTTAAAGGTTAAAATTGTTTCAATAGGTTTGTTATAACTTCTCATTTCCATTGTATTTAACTATAATTCTTCTCAGACATGCATCCTGACTTGTTTTAATTATACTAACAATTTATTTCCGCTGTTAAAATTTAATATTGATATGTCATAATTTTCAGTTAGTGTGAAGGGGATGGTAATATTTGTTTTTACACCTAAAGTAAAAAATGACTTCATGGATTCGTATTGTTGCAGATATGTAGTATTAATGTCCGGGCTCAATATGGCATCTAAATCTGCAGATCATTTATTTTCATTGAATCTATTCCTTGAATGGATGTCTGGATTTTGTGGTACAACAGAATACCAAGAAGAAATATCGAAGATTGTAAGAGTTATTATTGCAGGTAAAAATTATATTTGTATCACTGATCATTGAAATGTATGATGTGGTAATGAAGATAACTCTTATAATATTAACATTTGTAGGTGGTGTGTTTGCAAATCATTCAAATGAGGCAACCTTGGATGAATCAGATGTTATTGCCTCTGCGGATTCAGTTGATGCCTTTTCTGCAGCTTTAAGTGCAGTTGCTCCAGTGGATTTAATGCCTGGATGCAAAGATCCTTCTGGAATTATGTTGCCTCAGAAGCCATTTCACTATTGTATGTGAACAATACACAATGTTAAGAAAATAATAGCAAAGTATTATGTATTAATGATATGTTTTATATTTCAGGTCTGTTCCCAAAAGCTGTGGAGTATAAATCATTTAACCGAGTATCTAATCCATATGAATGTGATATTGGTGGTAAATAATTTGCAAATTTATACCTTAAATATATTTCTTTAAATTACTTAATATTATGATTTATTGTTTTGATGTTTTCTAGGTTTCTTGTGTTTGGGTTCATCTGGAGAACCAATTAAGGATATAATGAAATACAGCAAACTTGATAATGAATTAGAAATTATGCAAAAGACATTACAATGGCGCCATATTGCACCAACATGTCCCGATACTGTTCCTTGTACACCTTGCATTGACACAGATCCATTTACTATTTACAACTGTCCTGCAATCTATTTTAGTGGCAATTGTAAAGAATTTGCTACAGATTTGCATAAAGGTAATCTTGGTTTACTTTTTAAATTGTCTGAAATTTTAACATGTTCAAATATGTACTTTTCATATATCTTATTTTAGGATCTGATGGCCAACTTACAAGAATAGTCTGCATTCCAGATTTTTGTAATAAAAAGACTATTGCAATTGTCAATTTAGCTAATCTTGATTGTTATAGTATGATATTTTCTTAGTTTTTTTAGGTACATGTACATAAATTTAATATTTGTAATTAATTTTAATATGTTTATGAAAACAATAAAAAAGATTTGTTCGTTTGCTTTGTTCTCATTCGTTTTGGAACTACTTTAACGTTCGGTGCTCGGCGTTGGCGTGTTTTAAACGCTCATTCTCCTACGCTTTAAAATCACTCTTGTTACGTTCCCACAGCGCTTAATATGTTAAACTGCGCGATAAAAACGTAAAAAGCATAGCGTCTCAAATCATAGATTCATCTTTTATACTCAGAAGCTAAAAAACGATCAAATTCAAGTCGATCCCTTTAAAATCGATGTATTAGTTACAAAATTTGTTTTAACCAATGAGCTACATTTTCTGAAAAAAATTCCTGTCCCGCAACTAGCGAATTACTCGTAGCTTGCTTTCCTTAAATATACATCCCTTATTTACTTGGTTTTCAGCATTTTTTTATGCTTCGCTTGAAACATATTTCGATGTTTTACTGTAGTTAAAATCGATGTATCGAGATCGAGTCATATGTCAGACTGACAAGTACTCTACTTCCTTGCTCCGTTGCCTATGCTTTGCCTATTACTCATCATGCTTCGAAGTTAATAAGACGTGTTATTGTTTAAACTCGTGCTATTATTTGCCGTAAGATGGGTTTCTAAGCTCTTAAAAACTTTTGCACACCTGCGTGTGCCTTCACATCGTTATAAAAATGCTGTAAGTTACACTCTTGATTTATTTCTATATTTCATAACTATTATGCTCCGAGACCATTGCATTCCATTGCTTATTACTTTCACCTCTCGGGCGTAATCATCGGCATTAACCTGTGATGTATTTATTCTAGGAAAAGCGTACAGTATTTAATGACAAGTGTGGAAAACGCGTAGATATAAAGTGGCGCGTAATTGTTATTTTCCTCCTTGTCGGTAATTGTTTGGTACTTAGCATTTCGTTGTTCAGTGTGAGAGTTTTGTTTCTATCTAAATAGTGAAGCTTTTAAAAGATTTATGTAGAAACTATTAAGTTGAAAAACACTTCACCAAATAAAAAAAAACAAAGTGAAATAGATGCTTGTTCTTAATGTCACTGGATAAGTTAAATGCAATATCATGAAATGTACAGTAAATTAAGTACCAATATATTTATTTATTATAACAGTGTGCATTTATTTACAAACTTTATTGTGTGACAATGTTTATCAAGTGTAGTTAATTTGTCAAGCCACAGAAAAAATAAATCAAGCAAAATTGCCAGCCAGCTATCGCATATTGCTTCACAAGTTAATGGAATATAGTTATGTGAGAAAGCATTTTGCTGATAATATATTGGAATTTACAAGCTATAGCAAAAAATTGTTAGTAAATAATGGCAAAAAAGTTTATGATCACAATTATTCGGCTTTGGCTTGGAATATAATATAAACTGCTTGTGGGATAATTATGCTGCTGGATAACAATGTTTTTTCTAGTTATTAAGTCCACAGAAGTAAAAGAATTCAATGAAGTATAATGTGTACATGTCAGTTCATTGAAAAAAATTATTTGATAAAACTATTGTAACAACACTATGTCACAACTATGTTACATAACTCATGTTGAAACATATATTGAGTTTACTTTCTAAATCTAAATGCTACTTTGTATTGTACAATCAGTTGACTTGTTTGTAATATGAATCGCTAATAGAGGCTACTGGGTCTAAGAATTTTTTTTGTAACATTAAAACTCTAACTTTGACATAGGGCCCTTAAAATTTGGTAATTTTTTATTTTTAATAGTTATTTAAATAAATTATTTATTTATAAAATGAATCATTTATTTTCAGAAATGTTATGTTTCAATACAAAATTCTATGTGTATTTTAAGTATTTTTAAATTTAATTTGGATTCCAAATCGCTGTTTTATAAATAAACGCCTAGTCCTATAGCTACCCCCTGTAATAGCAATATCATGTAAATCTATAAAGTACATTTCATGTAATATATTTTATAATATTTGTTGATTTAAGTTTTTACTTATTTCAGTCCACCTGTTAATATTTAGATTTTATATAAAAATTTACACATAAAAAATATTAAGCTACTAGCTATCGTCCGCGACTCCGTCTGCTTGAAATAAAAATAAAAGAAAAATGAATAGCCTATGTATTTTTCCAGACTATCCTCTACATCTATACCAAATTTCATCGAAATCCATTCAGCCATTTAGGCTACAAACTCTAACAAACATCCATCCATCCATCTAAACTTTATACTTATAATATTAGTATGATTAGTCATCACACGTGTTCCAATATCTAATTACAATAATTCTATAATTTTGCTACTCTAACAATTTTGCGGCGATATTTTTTTAAACTTTAAACCCAGATCTTATTACACTAGTGTGTGAAATGTACTACAATTGCATATCATGAAAAAAAAAAAATTTCTATGTTATTGAACATATATCCAATTCATTTGTATTGTGGCTAATAAATTGATAGCAAAAATTATTTTGTACTAATTAAGAAAAAAATGTTTTTGTTGATATTTAATGTTTTTCAATATAAGGGTGACATCAGTGATAACCTTACGAATAGGAAGTAAGCAGATGAATTCCGTTCAAAACAAATAAATTGGCGATTTCAGATTAAATTTATAGACACTAGCTGTTCCTGTGCGGCTTCATCCATATGAAATTATAAAAACTTTGTTTTATTGTTTATATTTGTCAAATTCTTAATTGAAAATTTCATAATTACTGTTACCATAATTACTTTGTTCCCTTATGTTGGCAGCTTGTAGTTTATGGTCCCTTTCCCATGTGAAAGTTTTTTTCAAGTTTAATTACCCGCTAAGTTTGTTAGCTTGAAAATATATAGCCTAAAGTGTGTCATAAGTGTAGGGCTTTTTATTAAAGGATTATTCAAAGATATGCTGTGAATGCTGACACCTCCACCGTGAAGTAGTGTGTGTTTACGCTTTATTATATTACTGTAGGTTAATATATATGTTTGCAATGTGACTAGTTTAAAGCATAATTGCTTTTACACTCTTCAGATCTTAATATTTAATTTTCTGATAACCATGTTTATTGTGTTGGTTTTTCTTAGGACATTTCATTAGAGATCAAACCATGGTTACTAATAGGGAATTTGCTGTGTCAGTAATTAACTTAGCTACATTTGAAGTAATTTTCTGTTAATTATGACTTGTTATTTTCCTACTCATAGTAACTAAATAATAATCATTGTAGTAAGAAATATTCAATGACTGGATGATTAAATAGTGTTTATAAACATTTTTTATGATGTAACAAACATAAAAGTCTTATAACAAGAGAAGTCAAGATTAGATGTGTGTAGAGTAGCTCTGAATTTGCTTATTAGGTTAAACTTGATTTGACTGCCTTGAGCTGTGGCTCTAAAAATCACAATACGGCTCATGGCTCAACATGATGTACTATAACCTTTGAGATAATTGTTATTGGTGTTCGGATACTATAACTATGAGCCGAAAAGCTGCGATGTGTCCGGTGACTCATTTCGCAGCTCGTAACGAAACTCTTTGTACAAATTTAGACATGTTTTTTCACAATGTGATATGAACAGTGAACTGCTTAAGAGTTAATTCCATATCCAATAACAATAAACACTTGTCCAATACAAAGGTTGATAATGTTCGATATCTTAATATCTAAAATATTTCAACAAATGACGTAGCTCTTGATGATTATCCACTTATTAGATTTTGTGAATGTAACTAACTCAAGGTTTTTTCTCTTTTCAGTGCCAAAATGGCGCCCCCAAGGGACAGCTCTGTCCTTCGACAAATACCACCAACTCTATCGGACTACCACCTGTATCCGCTTGTATTTATTCCTTTGGTAAGTTTTCTACGTAACAATTTTATTTATTGCGTCATATTTGCTTATTGCGTAAAATTTCGTTTATTACTTAATTAACAAAATTCTACGTATACTTTAAACTTTTAAAAGTAATTATAATCAATATTCAAATTCAGATATTAAAATATTTCGTATTTTTGAATCATAGGTATTAATTGTGTAATGAAATATTTTTTTCCAATTTCATATAGTTCCATGTAGTTTTAGGGTTTTCATATACTGTTTTCACATGTTATTTGTATTATAATAAATGCATATTAGAAGAAAAAAAAACATCATCTACATCATACATCATCCTTAACCTACTCCCGTAGGATCGGCGCGACCGAATTTTGATCATGTCACTTTCACGCAATCCATCCATCTCTTTCTAATTCTACCTCTACCGGTGTACCCTTCCACACTCATAGCTAACTTTCTAATTGTAACATGCGATTCATTCCTCCTCGTAACATGCCCATACCATGATAATTTAACCTATCGACAAATATGAATCAAGGAAGTTATTTCTGGCACAATACATAAAGATTCCTACTATTTATAAAGGAAGGAATTTTACTTCTGTATGCAGAGTAGTCGCATTAATACACAAATTGTGATCATTTAACTAGTACATGAATGCATGGAATATTGACCAGTGAATCAAGAGTACCGAACTTTGAACCTATTACGTTTAGACTATCAAATCGTCATCTAGTATACTTAGTTTAAATAAAACTCAAACACCATATTGGAGGAGGTTATTAACAATCTATTAGTAAAGCATATCCAATAGGGATATTTAAGGCAACTGGAATTTTGTTATGAAATTCCAATCCGGTGATAATAACGAAATAACTGCCCGTGCCAAGGCTCCTGAGGGAGCCCTCGAGCTTAGTTTCTCCTGAACGAGGTTTAGGCTAAACGCTATCTGCGCTAGGCCACTTCAAGCCCGGTGAATCTGTAAATGCCTCTTCAAGGAAAACAGTGATAATTCAGTCACAAAAAAAAAAATGGAATTTTGACTCCGCAGAAGTAGGGAGCAAATTGTATTTTTTTCTCTGTGTGATTTTTAATATGATTACCATAAAAGTACAAACGAACGAAGCTAAAATCATCAATAGCTTATTATTTAAGGGAATGGATCACCGATCGCGCGATCGAAGATTCCCGATATTTTATTATTAATTTGAACCATATCCAAGGAAAACCTAGAGATTAGTGAAGTAGAGTAGAGTAGAAGCACACTTTGTTAAAATGATGTAAAGAAATATTAGTATACTTGAAATAATCTTTATATGTTAATTAAAATGAAAAAAACCGAAGAAACATTTTTTGTGAATTGCCAAATGTAATGTTACAAATATTAATGTAATTCTTTGTGCGTTTCAGAGTACCAGCAATATCAACACCGCTGAGGATGAGTACACGCGCATGGGATTGGTCGCTGGCTTCGGCCGACGGCCTGCTCACTAATGAAGAATGCTCTATGCTGCTCGATGTCGATATTTTCAACACTGATGACGGTACAACTCTATTTCTTAATGCAATAAGCACTATTATTTAAAACTAGCTGTTGCTCGCGACTTCATCCGCATGAAAGTGAAAAATATAGCCCGTGTTAATAGTACATCACCTTTCTAATGGTGAAAGATTTTTTTAAAATAGGTCAAGTAGTTTTTACCTGAAACGAATACATACAATAATCCAAATCTTTCCTCTTTATAATATTAGTATAGAGAATGACCAATTTTAAACAATCGAATAGCGTGAATTGACCTGATCTGATCTGATTGTTCAAAATTGGTCCTAACAAATCAATCGATGGAACTTACACATAAAATAGTCTAGTAAACACTAGATAGGATAAAACCAAATTGCTTTGGCTGTCTATTCCTATGTATACTTAGATCTTAAAAACTCTGATGTTCTTTTGATAGATTAAAAAGAAATGTTTGTTTGTAAACTAACTGTTCCAGTGCGTCTTCATCCGCATGAAATGTCAAAAATCAAATGCACAAATGACAATTGCTTGTTGTTGGCAGCAACTTATGGTCTATTTCCCACATTAAGAATTTTTATCTAAAATATTTACCCCCAAAGTTTGACGACGTGAAAATATATAGCCTAAAGCGTGACATAAGTGTACGGCTTTTTATAAAAAAAAGATTTATTCAAAATTATGCTGTGATTGCTGACATCTTAGGCAACAAAGAAGTGTGTGTTTACGCTTTATTATAATACTATAGATATAGTACAGTAATACTGATAGTTTTAAAGGTTTCTAATTTATAATAAACACTTTTTGGTATCAGCATTGGAACAGTGCGAAAAGGAGCGGGTCGCTACTATATTCATAAACAGTGCTTCACAACAATTCTACATGATCTTTAGTGGTCGTATAGAAAGATTAGAGCTAGCTTAGTTAGTGCATATTGACACTACTCTTGAAGGGTCCATTTCATTACAAGTAATTAAGTCCTTAAATTTCCTGCAATATGGCAAGGTGTTTTTTTTTCCTGGGAGCTATAAATATATTATCATCCACCTTATCCTACTCCCGTAGGGTCGGCACAGCAGGTTTTTGTCCTCCAAATAACTCTTATCATACGTCATCACTTCCTTTTTGATGATAACACCTTTCACGCAATCCATCTATCTCTTTCTAGTTCTACATCTTCCGGTGTACTCTTTTACAATAGGGCGGTATGACGGTTAAATCAAATAATCGCCTATTCAAGATAGATATCAAGATTATTCTTACTTCTTATTTTGTACTAGAGAAATCATAAAAATTGATATCTCAAGCAAAGATAGATTGATCATTGATTGGGTTTGGTTGTCAGCCAATCTATACTTATATAATAAAGAGGAAAGATTTATTTTTTTCTATGTATTGCAATAACTCAAAAATGACTATTTAATTTAACGCGGACGAAGTCGCCAGCAACAGCTGGTATTATATACTTTTTGTAGTGTTTAGAAGAAAATTAGTACCACTCTGAAGAATTGGCGCAACACTAGATTATTGGCATAAACGTCACATCTCTAACTGACAGCTGTCAATGACATTAGGAGGATTGATATTCGCGCGCGATCCTGAGTCCTGACGAGAAGTGTCGCTCTGAGTTTAAAACGACAGTATCAATTAAATATAATGTTTAAGAGTAGCAAAACACGATATTGCCGTTTCACTTTGTACTATTAAAACACAGAACGATGCTTGGTCGTTCAGTTAATTTTATGATAGAAAATGTGTTTTTGTCTAGTCTATGAAGATTATAGTACCAATCGTTAAAGAATTCTTGTAATAACAAATTATGCAGTAGGAAGCATTCTGAATTCATTTGCTACACACATAATTCATTACTAACGATATGCGTAGAGTAATATTGAAGAAACATGTTTGTCTGCATAATGCTAATAACCCATATAAGTTTTAAGCTATTCCCATAACGCTTCTATTCTATGAAATAGAACAGAATGTAACAAGTTTAAGTGAAAAAAAGATAGCATTCCCATTATTTTTGACAGTTAAGAACAACATAATGAGAGTAAGTTTTCTTTAAATATAACAAATGAGGCAAGAAAATAATATTTAACAACATTTTTTTTTAAAGTGAGCGTGGTGAAAAAATAACTACCTTAACAAATATGTTTAATTATATAAATGATAGTAAATTTAAGAAGTAGAAATATTTGAAAATGTAACGATACGAATTTAATACCCATCCTCCATTCCCAACCTTTTCTTACAAGGGTAGGATGGGAAAAAGAAAGTGGGAACGCTTAGGAAGAGTAAATATTCACTTTCAGTACGTCACTTCCTCTGTGAATTAAAGATAGGCAACGTATCTGCTTTTCCGGATTTCTATGTCAGCTGTCATTTTGCTATTTCTGCTATTTCGGGTGGCTGTGTGCATTGGCAACCTTATTATATAAAAGGCAGTTAACAATTTGTCACATACGAAAATGACAAAAATTTAGGGACTAACGTATTTTTAGTCTGGAACAGTTAACAAACAGACCTACACAATTCTAAATTTAAGTTAATATTTAGTATAGCATTTTCATTACTTTCGCGTTATTCGATTTTAAAGATAATTTTAAATAGAGCAGGGTTACGACAGTAGGTTTAAATTTAAACAAAGTAAAATATGGATAGACTAGCTTTTGCCCGCGACTCCATCCGCGTGGAATTAAAAAATACAAAAGTAAATAGCCTATGTGTCCTTTCACAATATCCTCTATATCTATGCCAAATTTCATCGACATCCGTTCAGCCGTTTAGGTTACAAACTCCACAAACATCCATCCATCCATCTAAACTATCGCATTTATAATATTAAGTAAGATTGATGTGAAAGTGACATATTTAAGAAAGAAGAACGAAGAGGTCACTTTTGAAATACCGCTAACTAGATGTGTCGACCCAATATAGAGTGGTATAAGAACAAGGTGATGACTCACATTATATTTTTCCCTATATTATTGCTCGGAATGTAATAAAATTTTCAATATGCAACAGATGCAACATGTAAAATATTGATAGACTTGTTCATAACAAAACACACGTGCACGCATGAAAGCTAGCATGCTCATATCGCTGTAAACGTTTTTAGCAATTGTCTAAAGACAAATGACAGGTGTAATTTAAGACAGAGATTTCAAACGAAAAGGGTTATTTGTAGAGATGTAACTATTCTCCACGTGGGCCGATTTTTCCAGGACTAAATAGGGCACTAATCTATATTTTGCCGACATCTCAGCCGTACCACAACGGTCGTGGTCACGTATTAATTATCTCTGCTTTAATTATTCGATACACGATCAGGTCTCGTGGTTATCATCATTATTATTACATTTGCTTGACTCTAAAGTTAAAAGATGTGATAGCCTATTGACTCGTCGAAATACAAATATAGTGGTCGTGGGTTCGAATCCAAGACAATTTCGTACATGTTGACTAATTTGACCGTTTTTGAAATTCTATCTACCTTGAAGGTATGGTATTGCCAACCATTCGATGTTCACAATGAAAATACTTTTATCTAACGAATATAACCCAAAGTCTGTCAGGTGAAAACAGAGTACTTCTTATTTAGATATTATAAATATCTAGCAGTAAACTATGACTAAAACTCAAAGGGCACCGTTCACAAATCCTTGATAAATGTAAGAATTCAGTCATGGTGAATCGGCGTTTCTCATATCTTTTAACAGCGATATTTTTATTATGATAGTAGTGGATTAGGCGACTTTCGATAAAAACAACGATGCCGTCACCGCCGTCTATATTTTTCCTATCATTTTAAGCGTCGTATCTATCTACATGTGGAATTAGGGGTTGCTTTTTAAAAACAAAGATATAGAACTTATGATATGATAGATTGTACCGATTAGAAACCGTCAGTCATCGCGATAGTAGGATTTTGCTGCGGAATCCTAATATGCATGTACGTTTGCTATGCGTTTGCTACTGTGGTGTGTAGAAAACTGTAGGGTCCACTTTTGTTTTGTCTCTTTACTGAGATTAGGATAGAAATCAATCCGCTCTTGTGATAATCTGACTTGAAAAAAATATTAAACAATCGAGTTTTAAAGAGTTATTTAATACAGCGGAGCACAAGACTGAGGCGAAGAACTGCTGAGGCGTTTTGTAGGGATTACCTCCTTCGGTGTTTTCATTAATAATACAAATAGATATTTGGGAAATTGAGTCTTGATGTCGTCAAACTTGTATAACACTCCATCTATAGGGAATATATCTATGTATATGACCTTGAAGGAGTTAAATTTGCGTAGAATTGTCGCAAATACGAACGATAAGTATAGTTACATCTGGCATGACCCCAATAGCCAACCAGCAATCTCGATAGCCCCCCCACAAATTCACCTCATGTTCGTGATAAGACAAAAGGTCAGTGATTGACACGGTCTTAATAAGGTCCCTTCGTATGTATATTTCCATTTCTTCAATGCTACACAAACAATATCAAATAAATTAACACTTATAAATTCACTGTTATTACAGATCGATTCTAACTGCAGATTTGCAATTTTCCTGACCTTTTGTGGTTTTGGAAGTTTTTAAAAAAAGTATCCTACTTCTCCTTGTGGATAGACAAGGTTATGCCTACCGTACTTACTAGACTAGTAGAGTAGAAATAGCTTTTTTATTGCGATGGGATATTTCTTTGTACCATTGGTTCCTGACGAATACCTTATGTAAGCTTTATTATTATATTTAATAATGGTAAATACTCTAAGTGTTCTTCCAAACCTTAATTTATGCTAAATTCCATCGAGATGCGTTCTACCGTTTAGGCGGTAAACAAAAATCCATACATCCATCTCAACTTTCGTATTTATGATATTAAGTAAGAAGTAAGATATACAGACGTCATTTTGGTATAAATATCTGACCCGACGGTCAAATCAAAACAAAATTAGTGTCCTTTTATGCAATTTTCTATGTTCATGTACATATTCTGTGACAAAACCTTTGACTATAGTCAAAACAAGTATCGACGTTACCTTATAAGGTATCGATGTTACTTGTTTTTACATCGAAAAATACGTAAGCGTTCCGTAAAAAAACAAACCATTTGGGCATCAAATGGTAATGTTGTAGCTTTTGTAAGTACTTTCTGTTTCACGATTGTACTGAAACGGTAAAATTAGGTAAAAAATTAATAAAATCGAACTTGACACTAACTACAAAATCGAACAAAATGTAATTGACCAACACAAAAACAAGTAAAATAACTCAGATGTTTATTTTTAACCTTACAATGCAATGAAGCATAAAAGGATCGGATGGGAAGGATAAAAGATATCTGATTTATTGCAGACTATCTTTCGTCTGCGACTCCGTCCGCGTGAAATTTAAAAATAATATAAAACATAGCCTGTGTTACTTAGTTGATAACGTAGCTTTTTAATGGTGATAGAATTTTTAAAATCGGCCTAGTAGTTTTGAGTTACTTCATTACAATCAAACAAAGTTTTTCAAAGTTTTGTAATATTAGTATGCCAGATAGAATTTATACAAGATTGTGAAACGTAAATTGTGGATAGATAAGATCTTACTATTAATATACGATAGGGTTCCTATCTGTAACCCTAGTTAGGTAACTAAAATGGTTTTATATTGAGTAACTACTAACTTAATCTAAGATTCATTTTTTAATCAAAAGCTTACCTTACCATATCTGAAAATGAAATCATGCGGCGACGCGACGTTGCGAAAACAAGATAACTGCTATCAAAGTTAAATTATAAATATTTCGTTCATGCTCTCCGGTTGCTATGGTGGTAACATGGGTGTGTCATGATAACAGATTTCTCGGGACGTGATTGGTCCGTCTATTTCCAGTTAATGACGTCATTGGTGCTTTAAAAACAAATTTTGTTTTGACTTATAGAAGCCCTCTTGGTCATGTTTTGAAAGAGGATATCGCTGTCCGTTCTGTTTTCCACTGTTTATCAAGTAAACGGTGAAAATATTGTGATATAATTATTAAAAACATGTTTGTTACAAATCGTATGCATATAATGATTTCTAGAAAACAAAAATTGTTAAATGCAAATTGTTTGCCGGGGATGTATTATGACGGACTGTGATGCGCAAACTTGTGACGCCCCGTTCTGATCAGTGCTTTGGGCGGTCGCCAAACCACGCCCTACACTAACGTCGGATAATATGGATTAATACGTTATTGATCATTTTAATTAAAAGTCATTTAATGCAAAGTACTACTTACGTTGTCACACGATTGTCTTTTGAATCAGAGTTCTCCAAGTCGCGAGAAACATAGTAAGCGTAAAGTATTGATTGGTGCTTAGTATGTTGCACACTTTGAATATTTTTACACAACGGTGTATAAAGAACTCTATAAGAATAAAATCAAGGCACTGATACCATCTTCGTTTAATTGGAATCTTCATAAGATCTTTATAAATGCGCTAATGGAAATTCGTTTGAGTATGTATGCATTTTGTCGTTTTTAATACTACAAGACAAAGACGATGGCTTTGGTTAAATGTTAACCATTAAAAAAATCAATCTCATTTTACATAAGGTGACCAGTGGTCCGTTTGTACTTATCTTGAATTGATTTCTTTTTACATTCGTTGGTGTATAATTTTGGTTTACCTAATCAACAAGCGACGACCTCTGATATTATTATTTAATCTGCGTGACCCAACGAAATGTCGGGCGTTGAGAGATATCGTGTCCGTTGGCACCGAGTGGTGTGATGTGGTGTTACGCATGAAATGACGAGCCCGCCGCCAATAAATATCTTGTTATTGTCACTGATTGGCTCTTCTCTAATGTATCCATTTATAAAAGTATATTAAATAGTATATAATATTATAAAAATATATATCTACTTGGAAGATCTGAAAAGCTAGAAATTTCGAAAACTCTTTTATTTTTTTGTTACAGGATTTTAGTATTGATGATTGTACCTATATCAGTCTTAAATATCTATTTAATTTTAAACAATACTTTGTTTTTGTATTCTTTTTGGAATACACGTAAAATCTCAGCGGTAAAACGCCCTCAGTGAAACCTTTACAATTTTTTTTGGGAGGTATAACGTTTAAGGTTTTTAATCATTTATTATATTACGTTGTAAATGAATTTAATCTATTTCATATAAAGTGCATAAATTATATTGATTTGATTAAAATGGTAAACAATTTGATGTACGCATTTGCGTAGGGGCGTATGAAAAACAGAGTAATTACAATAAAATTATGCGCTCCATGTTTTTGTAGATCACTTATTGTTGTGACATTATCAGTGAAGATTTAAAGCATCGCGACATCTGGGCGTTTCTTTGACGTAACGAGAGGCGAGCGATATCGTTAGTATATATATTGAAGTTCCATTCGACAGCCGTATTTTGTACAACACTTATCTAAGCTTCTTACCTTGAAACTCCTTACATATATTCAGACAAATTGTCCATAATCATTCAGTGGTTCATACGTAACCGTACGAAGAGTTATTCATATTTTGCGCCTCCGATTTTTCAAGATGTGTTGCTACAAAAATAGCGGAATGTGTAACCTTTGTAGAGACTTCCAATATAACCTATTGCAAAGTAAGATATTGTTTATTTAAATTTGTTTTATTTATTATTAATAAGAATAAAATTATTACAATTATCTTGATATTTTGATAATCTTTTAATTTTGAAATAAAACCTTGATGATATTTTCATATTTTATTTGTTATTTTACGTTATAATTTTCGATATTTCAATGCAAAAAAATATTTAAATCACGAATTGGACAACACGAATTTAATAATTATTGTAGCAGATTACGTAACGTTATATAATTATAAAGTAAAGATATAAAATACTACTACTTTTCTTCTCTACAATTAAAAAAATCCTAATATAATTTTATTATAAAAACATTAATTTTAGATTAATTTGTTTCAGATTTACTTAAGACATTCCCGAGCGCTGCACTGAAGATCGAATTGGACAAGTTCCAGTATCAAGAGGAGGGCACCGCCAACCTGTACCCGCCCTCGCCGGCCGACACCAAGCCCTCGCGCGCCGACCTCGCGCAAGATCTTCTGCAGCAGCTTGACAATAACTACAAACAAGGTAACTGCGTCTATACTTGAACAGAAAATAAAATTGAACTAATCTAGTGTGACGAACAACTAATTTAAAAATATCTAGTCTCTACTAAAATAGTTTAAAGAAATATACGGGAGATTTTGAATTTAGTGTGTTAGTAACATATAATATTTCGCTAAAAAAAACTTCGTCGAATTAAGGGTAAACATTGCTCACGGCGTACTGTGTTACCGATTGTTCCCTGTAATTATTTCCTTGGCACTCATATTTCGTATGAAAGTAGATGGCAACTTGTTAGTACATAGACATTGTGGCACTGAATGTGTCTAAGCAGAAACATTAAAGTGGTTTTAGAAATACACCATCTGTAGTCATTGGTGGGACGGGTTTGTAGTTTCCTGTATTATTTACTTTTTATACATTTATTTTTGACGTAATTATTTTCTATACCTCTAAATGTGCTAGCTACAGTCAGTAATGATTTCCCTTTGGCTACGTTTACACAGCACTTTTATATAAAATATGTGATAAAAATCTAATAAAGACATGGTGTTCAAATTGTAAATTTTAAATTTTGTAACTTGAGTATATTCCACATCTTTTTTGTAGCAAAAAATTGTTTTTTTTTTATAGTATTTTTTTTGGATATGAATTACAAATGTGATGATACGAATGAAATTAATTTTTTTAAATTAGTTGTTCGTCACACTAGAGACACTATCGATTACGAGTTTAAATAAAAAAAGGTAATTCAGAATTTCAGACCACTGAATTAAGTTTTAAATGTTACATAAAATATAGAACTTAATATTATATATTATATTAACTTAATATATATATAACTAAAAACTAAAAAAAATCAATGTTAGAAGACAGATTTTCATACAATTTTCTGTCTAAGATGTACCTTTTATAAAATTTGTCAACACTGACTAGATTTAGCATCACCGATATTTAATAAAATAGTCTATTGTCTATAGGTGTTATGTCTATAAAAAGACTTACGTAATGGGTTTTTTCATTGGTGTGAAGAGATAAAATTTGATTTATCTGTCGTTAATGACTTTGGGTAATCTTGAAAGCGTTAATATCAGTGTGCTTTAGACGCGCACATTTAAGACACATTTTAGAGATGGCATAATAATTATTATTGATAATTTGATACGGGTTGGAATAAATTGATATATGGCAGTGAGTTTTCAGTATCGATACGACTATTGAAATATATATTGTTATCACTTGTAAAAACTTGTAAATGAGTTACAAGAATTAATATTTGTTTTTGTACCTAAATGTTTTTCCAGATTGTATTAAGATTGCTCTAAGTTAGGTCATGCTTAAATTTTCTGAAATAAATAGTGAGTCTTGTTTTTTTATCGCCTGCCACGCCTCTCGAGATGTCTGCGTGTTGTCTTTTTAGATATCTTTGCTATATCGCATTTGTATTTTGTGATAATTTCACTGATGTCATCGACTGTTATACTTTGTTTACGTCACAGATTTAGTGCTTGTTAATTTGAAAGTTTATCATATCAAGTATTATCTTTGGACATAACAACTATCATTGTTAATCACATATAACGTTTAAGTTAGGTAAATGACAGTTATTTGTCTTAATTTAAATAATGTGCAAATCTGTTTACGGAATAAAAGTTTGCTCGATTGTTTTTGTAAGGCGCAATTAATCCCGTTACGTTGATGGCTGATGATATGTGTGATTACATATCTTTTATGCCAAAAATGTTTATGATTTAAAAAAGTAAAGCTTTATTGATACATTTTAAAAGCTTGTTTTGACAAGTTGTTGTTGGATACATGTCTTATCTGTTAATTTCAAATAGTCAGGTCGAGTTATCGTAACAGAGTTTGATATGTGATAAAAGATTGGGACTGAAAGGTTCTGAGATATTGTAGGACAGTAAAATAGTCTCTTATCATAGACTAAAATTTAAATAACCAAGTTACAGTTAAGCATAAGGTCTAAAATTTTCTTTCATTTTCATTTTCAATGTTTTAGAAGCGATTAATTTTGTTATCTATCAGTGAGCTCAATTAAAAACGTACATCTATTTCTGTGCTTGTTTTCCTCATCTGGGTGAAAACCCTTCATGGCAATATAAAATATATCGTTCAATTACTTCGATGATGTCAATCAAGGTCTTCCTAATTTGTCAATAATTATATGTTGATTACACTAAAACATATTTATTGATAGGCTACAAAGATGTTCGATTGTTTTCCTGTTATCGTCTTATTAGATTACATTTTGATAATCCTTGTTTATTACGACGTAACCTGTTAACCTCGGTCATGGAAGCTCCGCGTGGTCGTGCTTTAGGCTACCATGTTATTTTTATTACGTTCATTCGGTAGACGTGTAATATATGCACAAAAGATACAGCATGCAATGCAATGGGTCGCGCCGGGGGGCGGGGAAAGGCGCCAGAGGTCCAAGGCGGTGGCAGGCGCGCGCGCACTCAGTACTCGTGCGACCCGCGCCGCGTTTGCAGGTGTTTATCCAGTTGAAATTTACCCGTGACAATAAATTCGATTCGTGAAACGCATTACGGGCGTTCGCGCTCAGCACGCGACTTATGTCTGCCGCCGTCGATACCTTGGGACGCCGTTAGAATGAAGTACCACTATCGCTGCATTTGGAATAAGGAGATAGTGTTCAATTCACAGAAACTCGTCAAAAGACGTTAGATCGCCCGTCGATCCCAGCTGGACTTTTACGACGACCATCGCTCTCTACGAGGACTTCAGTTTATATGCTCGATAGCACTGCCTATATATTCGTATTAATAAAAATTAATATAAGAACTCTTTCGTAAGCACTAAGGACTGTATAGAACGATAAATATTATTGTATCTTGGACATCGTGATGGCACTTCCAGATTTTTATGCTGGTACGTTTTGAATCATTGTTTTCATATAAATGTTATTGACTCGCGTCAAGTAATTGAAAGTTACCGGTCCGAGTAATGCAATTTCAAGGTCCTCATGCTCTAGTTACCGTGCTTATGTATTGTTTGTGCAGCGGCGGTTTGTATACCTTGACAAGTATCAACAGCCTTGAAGATTCGAACACAAAATAATACGTCTCATGCCTCTAACACTGAATAATTTTTGACAATGACTGAATGACATTTATATAAAATATGCTAGAAATATTCGCAATGTTATTGATATATTTTATGTCGCACATGTGCGTTTGATTGTAAACACGTTTGATCATGTTATAAGAACGTGATACTGTGCTCTATGTCGCTGATATATTAACATATCTATTCTCTATGATTTACACATTCATTTTTATTTAGCATTGCATAAAATGTATTGCATTAATTTTAATATAATTACTGAGTTGCAACGTTCACGTGGCGCTTTAGGTTCTGGTCCAAGTGATAACAATAATGCGGAGAGACTGCAGTATTTTATCGTCGGCGCACGCGCAGCGTTCTTACCGACAAACAAACGTTTGTTTTGCAGGGAATGGAATCTTTCGATACTTGTACCACGACCTACTGATAAACCAGTCTCCGAGCACAAGCCGACCTCGCTTTGATACTCGCCCAATAATTAAAGCGACGTATATTGACCACTTGTTTTCAATATACGTTATTGATACAGATTATGGAATTAGTTGATTGTTTACTTTGTACCCAATGTTGTTGCTATACCGATACAGATTTATCGAATTGAATCAATATTTTGTTGACCCGTATCACATTGTCATTGTGTGTGAGTTATTTTATTCCTGATACCTTCCTAGTTGGTATTATAATCGTTGTAGTTTTAAGTGAAACTCATATTGTTTATAAAATAATTGGGTTGTTACACTCTTAGATATGTTAGGGTTAGTTTTGAGATAAAGGTTTCTTTGAAAAACAAAGAAATCGCTAATGTCGAACGATTAGCGGTCCATTGGAAAACACAGCCAGAAGTTACTTAAGCAAAGCATTTGATATTCATTTACATATTAATAGGAAAATTATACATGTTATGCTGGAAAATATTGTTGCGATCACAGAAATATTTATCAAATGGAACAGCCGGAGGGCATACACAAGTGTCCGAGATTGTGAAGGTTTATCAAGGGTCAGCTCAGCCGCAGTGCGCCGCTCGCTACATGTTTGTCTTTAATTAACTTATCTAAAATATTATTTCAATATTGCTAGATAGACTTTTGTTTACAAATGCTCTTATAAGTAACCTTGTCTTTGCCATGTCGTTTACCATACATAACTTAAATGATTTAAAATAATACGAATACGATAACTCTGGATATCCGATTTCCTGTAACTAAGTTCATCGTATCTACATTGTTCTATGCTGTCTTATAACAGTATCAGTTTACTAAATAAGTAATAAACACCGGTTGAATTAAACGCGACAATGCACCTAAAGTTCATTGACATTATTTTTTGACCAAACATGATTTTATTACAAGTTACCTATGAATAGTTTAGATTCTTAATGTGTTTACGATGTTCTTATTTTTTTTTTTACAACCGTGCAAGGCTGATTTTTTTTTTAATTCGTCCGATAGGCATAACAAACGGCCGGTAGCCGTGCCTCGGTCAATTACTTCCAATTGATTTTTGTGTGGTGCCGTCGCCTGCGGCTGCTGTCAGTTAATAGTTTGGTATCTCACGGACTCCGCTCTCATTCTAGTTAGAATTGCATTGTAGCGCAATTGCGTCGTGACACCAATAATTTCTATAATTAGCTGTAATTCAATCAATTGTATATTTGATTTTTTTTAAGCATAGCTAGTAGAAAATTATACTACGATAGTTAATTGTTTCATTGCCCTACATACTGCAAGGTCTGTTTAAAAGTTTATGATTCTTTAATATTTTGTATGGATTTGTCAAGTAATTTTTAATTACTATAACTCTGGAATGAAGTCGCCACTAAGTAGTAAAGTTATTACACGTTTTCTGTGCACTTAAAGTACAACATTGTAAGTAAAAACGAGTACATACAAAGTTTGTGAAAGTTGTTCTCAAGCGAGGTGTATACCAGATTCTTTAAGTAACAAATTTAAAGTTTTGTAACTACTAGTGTTTTTAATATAGGTACGTGTGATTGGTTTGGGGTAATTTACTCTCTAAAAAATTAAAAGGACCTAAAACACTATGGAATCTAAAACAAAATTTATAAAAACATATTAATGGGTTATGTGAAAGAGGAATGAGAGAATGGAGAGGATTCAGATATGTCTTAAGAATGGAGTGGATTCAGATATGTCCGCTGGTAGAGACGTATGGAAGAGCGGGCGAGAGCACATACTGTCTCCGTAAGGGATAAGGGCAAGTGGATAATGATTAATGAAATACAAAAAAAATATAAGTCATTTATGTTTACGACTGTAGGGACATGGTAAATGATAAATTCAGTTCCATTTTCCCGTTGGTTTAATCCCACGTGAGATCGTAAAATTATTAAAATCATAATTGCTCAGTGGCACATAAAAATACAACAAGCCCGTATGACGTGCGATAACTTTATGGCTGTGTAAGAACATTCTAGTAAAAACCTATTTATTGATATTACAATGTAATACATTATTAAAAACTAGCTTTCGCCTGACTCAGTCCGCGTGGAATTTAAAAAAAACAAAGTCGCTTTCGCATTTATGATATTAATAAAGTATAAAGTATGATGGGGTTTAGTGTTTCTATAGTACTTTTAAGTCTTTAGTAGCATATAAGAGTTTTTTCCCACGCTAAAATTTTTTCAAGTATGGGCACTTTAAGTAATATTGCTATATTCTAGATTTGATAAATATCTACTTAATAACGCTTCGCTCTGTGAATAAATTCAATAAATATGCAATTTGCCGAAACTTTACAATTTTCCTAGGAAAATTACAAACGGGCAGCACAGCGATTGATCGGAGATACAAAGTTGAAAAGCAACTAAATTTATTATTATTTTTAGCGTGTTTTATATATTTTTTTAAAGATATTTCCACATTTTATTGCAAACGATGAGGTCAGTTAAATGTCAGACTTTGTTTTGTAAATAGAAAAATACGTCGTACTTCAATACTTGTTCTTATAACAAAGAATTCGTTAAGTTTATTTTATCGTTATGTGAGGAGAATAAAGTAATTAAAAAGGGTTTTTAAAACTTAAGGATTTACCAAAAGTTTCAATAAACTACCTAAGCGGAAATATTGATTTCTAGTTATTTCGCTTAATTTAGATTGAATGATTAAAATTGCCGTCGTTCAGATGACCGGATATTATTTGGGTCAGATTACTTTTGTTCAATATTTCGGCGTCTATTTATACTCGATCATTGTTAGAATTGTGCAATTATAAAAGTTTAGTGAGCTTGAGTATAAAGATAAGATAGGGAACGTAAAGCGATGCCGGATAGGCCGAACTAAGGTCGGAGATCATGCGACTGTCGTCACATTCCGCGCAATTTACCATGAAATTATAACAATTATTTTGACTACGCCGATGATATCAATCCGAGAGTTTATTCACATTTAATTATCTGTATTTCTTTTTTATTTTCATCACTAGAAAAATCTGATTTATACCAGAAATACATGAATGATATTTGTACATCAATGCCTAGTATTAATATTTGATAATACTTTGGTTGGATTCATTTCGAGACGTAGTGTAAGAGACGTGAAATTGTAAATTCAAAAGCTAAAATTCAAGTTAACGTAGAACTGCCATTTCGCGTGAAATTTTACATTATCCATGACCACGATAAGCAGATTCAACTGTAATCTTCACCGTTGCATAATCGAGGCACGGCGTCTGATGCAAATTGTGGCCTACGACTGATTGTATGCCGAGTATGAAAGACAAACACAACACGCTATAAGTGATTCATGGTCACAAGAGTTACAAGTTATTTTTTTTTTTCAAAATGCAAGATAGTGGCAAAATTGATTAATTTTACTAGTTTATATGATATTATGTAAGGACAATACTCTCTTTATCTCATTTACTTTACAGATGCTCTATTTAAATCTACTCGGCAATGTAAAAATTTTACCAAGAAATGTATTTCGATTGGACTAATTATGTTTTTGTTCTTTACAGAAAACATATTCCCGCCATGGCTAGAAGAGAAGGTAGAGCTC